GTAGTAACTCTTCTTGTTCCTTAATTCTGTTGACTTTAGCCTACTTAATCCTTAGTGAATGTGATAGATTTAGTTCTGTCAACAATTGAAGTAATTTAATAGTAGTCTTTTTTTTGTAAAAATAAAAATTTATGAATTTAAGATAGAAACATATGAATAAGTTGAGTAAAGAGACGAAATAGAATCTGTTCTAAAGTGTTAAAATAAAAATTTGATATTAATCTTATAATACAATCTTACAGCACTTTGCCAACGCTGTTAGTAAGGAGTATATCTGGAGATGGTCCAAAACTTTTGTTCTCCAAGGACCCACAAGCAAATATCAAAGAGAATATGTGATCTTTGTACCACAATTAATTATTTATTTATAAAGAAAAGGTGCAGCAATATAGAGATTGAAATGAACCATCGACATATAGCAAATGATAGTAATATTTATCGAGGACTGAAGGAGCCAAATGGCTAAACCATACGCAAGTGGCAAGCTTTATTTGGTCCCAAATTTGGACTCTGATCTCTCATTTTTTTTGGGGATTGTACGATCCTCATGAAAGCCATCCAGAGGTCACAATCATTTCTTAAAATCAGCCTCTAATTCTACAAACGTGCTATTGAAAATGACTAAAAAGGGAATGAAGTTGTCAATTAAGGAATCATTTTTTATGAATCGAAATAATTAAGAAATAATCAGGATCCATCTAGTAGAAAAGTATAGGGTTTAGTTTTACAGATCTGGTTTAGAGTTAAGTTTTAGCGTTAGTAATACATAATTATTTTTAAAAAAATGTATCATGTAGAAATGAGGTGATCTTTTAAAATTATTTAAAGTTTTAAAGATAAATTAATTTTGAAGTTTCGTTGCAAAATACGCTAAAATTAAGAAATCAAATTTTCAATCATACATTAAGGTTATTTTCGGTTTAGATGTTAATTAGCTAGTGATAACAATATATCACTCACTATACCAAAATAATTGGGTTTTTTTTTTCTTTAATTTTCTTTTACATATTTAAAATTTGTAAACAATTTTTGTTATTAATATTTATTAATATTTAATAATATTATAATTATAATATCATATAAAATTATAAATTTATAATCATAACATCACATTAAATTTATAATCTTATATAACATTAAATGAATGTTAAGTGTCCATAAATAAGTTAATGCATATATTATTACAAGAGTGAAGTAAGGGATAAAGAAAGTTATCTTTTAATATACAATCAAAATTAAAAAAATAGTTTGAGAAAAAAATTAAGATAAATAAATTGTGAAAGAATCATTTGATTTTTATTTTTCAAAATCAGACATAAAATTAATGTACATGTCACATCTGACTAGCAAGTTTCTTTGATTGCATATTTTTAATTAATTAATTCCTCACCACAAACTTTCACTTTATCTCATCCTACCGTTTCATCGCACATTAAAAAAAAAAAAAATTATTGCACCGCCTTGAAATGCGGCCTTATTTGATTGGCTGTTCTATAAACAATTACATTTCTTTTTTTGTTTTATTTGCAATTGATTATATTATCGAATTAATTCTCAAAAAGATAATATTGACATATTTGAATATATATATATATATATGTGTGTGTGTGATGATAAATTAAGTAATTCACTTACACTAAATAATCCATATAGAGTTTGAATAAAATTTTAGATACCATTGTCAACTACTTAAATAATTAAGTGATTATCTTCTTCTACTGAAAATAAGAGATTCTGAATTCGAGTCATGCAGGTGAGGTGGGATAAGTGATGAAAGATGATTGCCTCTCATTGTATAATTAAGATAAAAAAAATAAAATTAGATATCATTAATAGTGACTTAGAAGTAACTAAAAAACTCTTTAGGTTGAAAATGACCAAAATATATCATTAAGTATTTTTTACATTAATCTTAATAGTTTTATCTTTTTATGATCTTTTTTTGATATTAATCTCTCAATATCCGGTAACCACATTAGATCTGACTAATTTGGAATCTAGTCGCATCGAACCCGATTACAGGAAAGCTCTCACAGCGCCTGTTTCTCTATTTATAAGACTTGACCTCGAAACCTTACTTAAAGAGAATCGAACTCCTTCCACTTGGATCAACAAGTTGTTGGTATCTTTTTATGATCTTGAGTTGCATTATCTCTTAATTCATGTCACTCATATATTATACAATTTAAATTTATAATTTCTTACTTTTATTAAAAAAATTATCACTAAATTATTTAAATAATTAAGGCATACATCTCACTAGTTGAATTATTGGATAGTAAAATATCATTTTTATAGTAAGTTTAGGGGTCAAATCATTAATTTTCTTAAATTTATTAAGC